ATTGTACCGATAAACGATATATCCAAACTATTAATTTTACACAAATTTACACTTTTAATAATTTAAAAAAATCGACATCGACATTATAACATAGTTAAAAATTCAATAAATAAATAAATCGAAAAACCGATAAATTGATGGAAAGCCAATCAAGATTAAAAAATCATTAAAAATGAAAAAACGTTTTGGTTTGAAAAATCGATAAATCGATAACTCGATAAAATTTTAAATCATCGTAAACTATAAATATGGTGATCGATAATTTTGTCATAGAGGGGATAGTAAAAATATGTAACTGTTAGAAATCGACTAAAATTTTATAGTAAAATGTGTCGGAATAGAATCGGAATAATAATCGATAAATAAGCAAAAATTTAACCAAGACTAAAAAATAATTCAAAATCAAAAAAATTAAATTTTAAAATCTATACAATCAGAAAAATCGATAAACCGATAAATCGATACATTTTAAATCATCGTAAATTACAAATATGGTGACCGACAATTTTAACACAGCCAGAAGAATAAAAATATGTACCTGTTGGAAATCGATATAAATTATAGGAAGTTTCTTAATTTTACAAAATTATAATTTTTATAAAACATTTAAACAATTTGTAATTAAATAAATCCACCAATATATTTTACAAATTTTAAAGCCACAGAAAGTTTATGACATATCGAAATCGATAATTTTCCGAAATTGAGAAAATATGTATTTATAACAAAAAATAATAATAAAATTCGTTCCAAATAATTCTTATATTTTTGGAGTTCAGCTTGAGAGAATAACACATCACCCGAAATGCTCGCATGTTGATCCATTAAAAGAAATCGGCTTACACACTCATATAATTTTATGCTCTCTTCAAAATGAATGCTATCACCCATCTGAGGTCTTTCACACAACAACCGCGGTACCTGTTAGACAATAAGCAATGCAGTACACTTTTTAAATCCATGCGCACACACACATATTTCTTTCATACAAACACAGTTAGATATAAACACCTCAGTGCGAGTGAACCTTCGTGAAGCCGTTGACTCGTGGTCATCTAAGCTTATCAGCGTCACTGAGTGCTTCCAAGAAATCGCGCAGCAACCACACATTTGACCACAAAACAGCCATTCAGTAATCCAAACAAACACATGCAAAACATGCGACAACAGGGCAAGCGGCAAGGACGTTCACCTTCGCAACTGCAAGTGCCACAAGCCGAAGCCGCAGAGCGCGTACGTTCGTTCGCCTTAAATAGACAAACTGACAATAACATTTATTTATGTCAATTAAATTTAACTTTAGCAAAATCGTATCAATTGCGCTTCAAAAGAAATAAAATCCACCACAACAACAAYAAAACCAACACTCGGTAGCAACAAATCGAGCGAATGAAAAATGTTTATTGCGAACGTTAGACTGTGGCATTTGTCGGTTAGCCGCTACAGTGGGATTGTTAGATGTGCCAAATGTTGCCAGTAGCTGCTGTCGCATGCCACAGGCTGCATGCCGCAATGGCAGCTTGTTAAAAATTGTTGCTTTTTCGTGCAGCGTTAAATCTGTATCATTACAGCGCCTTGGCTGTGGCTACTGAGGTGGCACTTTACAATGCGGCCGGTGGCACCGAAGTAGCCGTTGGCAAGGTAACGTTGCGTGTGGTCCAGCCGCAGTGTTATGTCATGTTTTTTCGACTTATTTTTCTGCAGCTTTTGGTATTTGCATCTAGTTGGCTTAGCTCGTTTGTTAGCCAGCCTATCTGTTGATTAGATCACACTCACACCCGGTGCTCGCTTAGTTGGTGTGCATTGCGGTGGTGTTGCTAGTTTGCCTTTCACTATTGTGACTTTTTTTCTGATGTAGGCATGTTGGCCATATTTAAACGTATGCGTAGACGTACGTAAATGCATAAGTATATCGATAAGTTTGAGTATATCACACACTCTCTTCCTAAAATACAAACTTACTTAGTAGAAAAGACTATAACAAAACCGTTGTGTGCCATTTATTTTAGAGTTTAAAGTTGCTTTGCTTAAACAGGGATCCGAATAAAACTTATCCACGGAAAATACACTCAGCTTCTTTTTATTAATCGTCACCTAAGATGTGTTTATATTTGAAACTGTAGTAAATGAAGTTTCAAGGCTGATCTCTGGATATTACAATTTGAGCGAAAATATTTAATATTGGGGTCGCTGGTATTGAATGACAAAAGCGATTTTTTCCTAAATATCTATTATTTTCAAAAAAAAAATCGACTATTTTAAAAAATCGATTATTTAAAAAGAATTATTTAAAAACACGATTATTTTCAAAAAGTTTAAAATTTCCAAAAATATTGTTATTGAAAACCCTAATTTTAATAAAATTTATTATTTAAAATAACGATTACTTTCAACATATCGATTATTTCCAAAAATATTATATTATTTTATATTATTAAAAAAGCAATTATTTTCAAAACCACTGTAATTTTCAAATGAAATAATATTAAAAAATCGATTATTAAAAATCGATTACTTAATAAAAATTAAATCTTGTAGGTCGCTTATTTGGACAAAATTCAATTGATTTATAAGAAATTCATCATATTGCAAAAAATAATTTCTTTTTTATTACTCTTTAAAATCACACCGATTCTATAAATCGGTTATAGATGTTGATTTATCTKAAACGATTTATTGATAAAAATTTACTATTTAGCCAAAATGAGTTATTTAATAACCAATTTCAAAGATTTCAAATGCAGAATATAATTGAACATGAAGAGTTAAAGCTATCGATTTTAATTAATAATTATCGATTATTATTATAAAAAAATGTAAACTGCCAAAAATCGATTATAACTATTTCCGGACTTTAAAATTTTCGAAAAGGAAAACGGAGTGGCAACACCTACAACCAACCGATAACTTTAGCAGTTTCAACAGTTTTTCAAATCAATTAAATAGTTAAAAACCTAATCGCACCATTTATTAAAATTAAAATCGTTCTAGCTCGTATGAAAAAAAAAGAAGAGAAATAGAAAATATGGTATAATAAATATATATCGATAACATTTCAATAGTATCGTAAAATCGATAATTTTTCAGTAATAACATTCTTGAATAAGAAATTCATTTAAGATAAAGGTTTTTTCAATTCATAATTGATTTGAATGCAAAACTGATCTATGATTTCTAATCGATAACTATTGAATGTAAAGGATTATTAAAATTAACAGAAAATAAAAACAAAGAACTTTCTAATTTTTACACAGTACAAATGTTTGTGAAAGAAAAGATCTCCAAAATCCGATGAATTTATTTTTATCGACTTTAAGCGATGCGATATACCACACAATATGTTTTAAAATATGCATTAGTGAAAAAAATTAAAAATTTAAGCCTGTCACCTTTACTGAACAACTAATATATTGATATAACCAATGTGAAATTAAAACTGACATGTAACATTTAATCGATATTTTTAAAAGAAAAGTAATTAAACAATGAACAGAATAAAAACTAGTGGAATTTTGAAGAGAGGTAATCTCTGAAAATACGACGTTTTCAACAATCGATAATTTTGTAATAATCGATAGTGATAATTTCAACTCATTTCTTCGGCAATTTCCRTTTTTTTTTTTTTTTTTTTGTAATAATCGATATTGTAACATGACACGAAAGCATCTAATTAACACATTAAAGCTACATTATCATTTTTCATGTTATTAGAGTTTTCGTAAAACCACAATGGACTGCATTTGAAAAAATAACATCTAATCGATAAATGAAAAAATATGCATTAGTAAGAAATTCGCCTATATAGAAAGTTTTTGTATTGATTAAACCACGAATTTCTTGTTTATAACCAATTTAATATATCAAACTGCTTTGTAACTCCCAATCGATAACTATTGCAGGCAAAGAACTGATTCAAATAAGCTTTGAGCTCTGCGAAAAAATTGGAATTAAAAAATAAGAGTAATAATAATAATAATAACAATAAATAGTTTTAAAAAATCGGTACCTTTATAATCATCAATAAATTTATAATAATCGATAATTCTATAGTAAGCGACTTTTTTTCAATGTTTCAATATAATAATTTTATTAAAATTGGTAATTTTATAATAATCGATTATTTTTAATATTTTTATCAAAAATTTTGGAAACCATCAGCTTTCAAATAACGTTTGTTTCAATAACAATTCGATATGCCACTGCACCAAAATGAGATCCTAACAAAAGTGTTACAATGTATGCAGCGTTAAATCTATTAACCTTCTGCACTTAACTGTTTAACGACGAATTAATCGCCGCTTATTCGCAACATTTATTTATTGCGCTTATTTATTGGGGCGTATATCGCATTGCACCTGCCGAAGCAAGCATGCCAAGCATGCCACGTCCGCCCAAGCGGTGAATAAAAAACACCTCGCTTTTTAACACAAAACTCGAAGCGTGGCACATAAAAAGTGCCAACAAAAGGCGAACATAAAATTCACACAACGACTTGCCGCACACAGCCTTTTGCCACACATTCAAGCACCAGCGCTCGCCTACTCAAACAACGCGCCGTCTGTCCGTCCGTCAGTCACTCAGCCAGCAAGCGCTTGGCGGCCGTGTTAATGCCATAAATAGCAGAATTAGACCGCGCGCGTAAGGCGTGCAACAAAGAAAGCTACAGCAGCAGCAGCAACGGCGACGTCACCGATAGCAGATTAATGTGCGATAAATTTCCAAGCGCCCAAATGGTGCTGTGCTGTGCTGGTGGTTTAGTGGCGGTGTGACTAACTGAAATGGAGCAAAAAGCAAGCGCAAAGTAGACACGCTCGCGAAGACCGGCTTGTTTGCTTAACTCGCTTAACAAGGCGGCTTTTCATAACTCATTTCTTCGGCAATTTCCGTTTTTTTTTTTTTTTCATTTTAAACTATCTTGCAACACTGTCAGCTAAGCACCAACTTGATTTGTATACATACTAACTTTTTTGTGTTTGTTTTTTGTTGTTTTTGTCTTGCAGATCGGCCAACTATTATCGCAGCAGCCAGACTTGTGAGCTCTCCGAAATGGATCGCATTACGTTGGCCGGCAGTGGCGCATTCCAGCCGCACGATGCTGTCGATTATCTGGAGAATAACTGCGCCGATGAGCCAAATAAATTGTGCGAGTTCAAACGCTTGTCCGGCCGCATATTGAAAACGGTGGATTCGGTGTATCAGGATGTTGGCAGCATTGATGAGTGTCGTGATTTATGCTTGAACTCGCCGTACAGGTAAGTGCGACAGCCGCAACCGACAGACTGACAACGTAAATGTGGCAGGACAATGGCTATAATAACAGCGAAACACACTACAGRCAACAACAACAATAGAAAAAACAAAGACGCATGCAACAAGCAGCAAGGAAGCGCAAATATGCCGTTGCCTGCCACCGAAAGCGGTCAACGCGCTGCGACTACTTGTCACATGCAGTAGGCGGCCGCACAGCGCCAACAAATTATAGCCAAAAACTGTGCATATCTCTTGCCGCAAAGTCGCAGCTGCGCTAACGCAAATGGCTAGCGTTGCAACACGTCGCACCGCGCCGCGCCGTTGCATTAGCATGTCAACATTTGATGCAACAGCAGTATGACATTTGGCATGACACAAACGCTTGTTGTGCTTGTGCACTTTGTTGCTATTGGTTTTCTGCGCAACATGTTGCCCACAAGTGTTGCTTAATCAGTTGCCATGGCGCATGTTGTTGCGCAGGCGCACTGCTACATGTGTTATAAAAGAACAAATACCGCTTGTCTCGGCTCTGGCTGGGAACTTTTTGCGTTGACATTGTGATTGTGTGCAAATTAATGCAGCAAGTATGTTTCTGGCTATTAAAAATCAAATCTACTTGCGACGTAACTCACTGGGCGATTTGTTGCTAGCAGGAAAAGCGAAAATGTGATTTCGATGAGAACTCATGATTCGCGATTAGATTAAATGCCAGTGTAGCATACAAAGAGAAAGAGAAGCAGAGAGCGGGGGAGCGTATGTTATGCTGTTAGCTCAAATGCATACCTGCCATCAATTGTTTGTGGTTATTGGCAGCACAATGCAAACAGCAGATTCAATCAATGCGAGCAAATGTTGCTGTCATTCGAAGGCTGACTAAGTGGGAAGAAACAGCGGAGAGCTAGGCTTAGCCAGCTCTTAGGTTAACATGAAATGTCTGCGTATTTTACCAAGCGTCTCCAATCTATGAGTGCTTTAAAATGGGAATGTGGGAAAGTCTACAGTTACTTGACTTAAACCTTGGTAGCCATACTTTCAGCGTACTAGACGCAATGGCTGGAATTAATACCGAAAGTGATCATCTGGCTCTGCGGTACCATAGGCCATTATGTTCTATAGAGTCTCAAGAGGGTTAAACGAGCGGCGCTCAGCATGTGTGGTTCAACAAGGTCCACTCCAACCATGGCACTTAACGGACATCACCGGAAGGTGTATGGCTGCGAAAGTTGTCATCAGACTCAGAAAGTTTGGATTTCTAAAAGAAAACGTGCCTGAAGACTCGGAAATTCTCACTCACTTCATACCGGATCACTTGGATCATGAAGTCGCCAAACCGAACTCTGGCTGCTCCTTCTCTACCCATTTACCGGCGAGGGAGTTATGGGTGAGCAGAAGCCGTTGGAAAACAGGGCCAGCGAGCATTTTCACTGATGGGTTAAAGCTTGGAAGAAAGGCTGATAGAGTGGTATATTGTCAGGAACTCTCGATAAGCTCCAGTTTCTGAATTCCCGACTCTTGCAGTATCTTTCAGGCCGAGGTTGCAGTCATTAGGGCGGCAATAGATTTACTGCTCCGGGGTGCAACCTCTTTCCAGAGATGTGAGCATCCACTCAGACAGCAGAACCGCGAAACTAATCTCGAACTCATTAATAGTGTATTCAGTGCTGGTCAAAGGTGCCTCCTAACGTCGCTAACAATAGCATGGAGTGTCTTTGTAATACGACTGCTATGGGTGCCAGGAATCGCAGGCAACGGTAAAGCTGACGAGCTTGCAAAAACAGGCATGCTAGAACCGGTATGGGTAGAATGGGAGCGGGTCGGTACACTTGTGGTTTCTTGTGCTCTACCAGTAGAAAGCTCGGCTTCGCGGAAACTTAGTCAGCGTTGGGACACAATGGATATATGCGCTGGCGCTAAAGTCTTTTGGCCCACGATCGAGCGCAAAAGATCTAGTGATCTATTTGCCCTGCGTAAGGCTAGACTCTCCCCAGTTTTGGGTCTTTTAACGGTCAGTGCCCTATTGGCGTCCTGGCTGGGTATCCTAACAGACGCCGTCTGCAGAAGATGTATAGAAGGAGATAAGGTGAAAACAACTCAACAAAGAAAGTTTCTTGAGTTCCTCTCTAGCTTACAGGAAGTTTAAGATTTCTAAAACAACTAAGTTTTACGGAAGATGACAAATTAACAATTGGATTCCGCCATAAATTAACCATTAACAGCTTTTCTAATCACATCTCCTTTTCTTCCACTAGATGCCACTCATACGACTATGGTGATACCGGCGATATGGTCTGCCGTCTTTCGCATCACAGCCGCGCTACACTCTCCGACGTGCAAGATCCCTACCTAGAAGTGCCTGAAGCTGCCACCTACGAACTGTCATCCTGCTATAATGTGACCATCGAATGCGGCGCCGGCGATATGATTGCACGCATACGCACCTCCAAACTGTTCGACGGCAAAGTATATGCTAAGGGTTCGCCTAAATCTTGTGCGGTCGATGTAAAGAATTCACTGGACTTTGAGCTGCGCATGGGCTATCAGGATCTGGAATGTAATGTACGTCAAAGCGGTTCGGGACGTTATATGAACGATGTGGTGATACAACATCATGACACGATTGTTACATCATCTGATTTGGGTTTGGCTGTTACCTGTCAATATGACTTGACCAACAAGTCGGTATCGAATGAAGTTGATCTTGGTGTAAAGGGTGATATTGAGCCGGCACTCAGCGAAGAGGTTATTGTCGATTCACCGAATGTGATAATGAAGATCACGTCACGTGACGGTTCCGATGTTATGCGTTCGGCTGAAGTTGGTGATCCCTTGGCGCTCAAATTCGAAATACTCGACGAACACAGTCCCTACGAGATCTTTGTACGCGAGCTGGTGGCCATGGATGGTACTGATAATTCTGAAATTACGCTCATCGATTCGAATGGTTGTCCCACGGATCATTTCATTATGGGACCGATCTATAAGAGTTCGTTATCTGGTAAAATTCTGCTCTCACACTTTGACGCTTTCAAATTCCCCTCTTCGGAAGTTGTACAATTCCGTGCGCTCGTCACACCTTGTATGCCGACATGCGAACCAGTGCAATGTGACCAAGAGGATATTGGTGGTGAATTCAAGTCGTTGATTTCATATGGACGCAGGAGGCGATCATTGAATGTAACAGGTGAGTTGGAGGCTACTTTGAGGCTTTGTTTATTTGATTATTTATATTTAGTCTCCAAAACTTTCTTCTCATTAAAGCTAGGGCAACTGAATACCAGAAACAGCTTTAGAACAGCCGTCTGTATAAGAAACCTAGCTTTGTCAAAAACTTTGAGCTTTAAGCTTTCCCTACATTCCCGAAAGCCGTGGCAGTTTCTGCAAAACAATTATTATAGTGTGTCTGGGAGTCACATTTTGAATAGCAAATGGCCGAAACTGAGCAAAAGCTCCGCTAAAGCTTTTGTAGATAAATCTCCAGGAGGATATATTGTTTGTCGAAGCTTTTAAGAATTGTGCGATTTTCTGTATATTTAAAAAATTTTCGCTAAATTCAAAAGTTTACTAAAAGCACAATAAAGCTTTTTTCAGCAAGCCTTATTACTTAATGTCAGTCTTAAATTTGTAAAAAGTCAACAATTTAAAGTATTGAGAAGAAATTTTAGAAAACAAGTAAAGTACAAAAAAATTGTCAAAAGCTTCAGTAAAGCTTTTACAGATAATCCACACAAAAAATAGAATAATGTTCGCCGAGGTTTCTAATAGTTATAGGCTTTTTATAAATTAGCATGAACATTTTACACGGATTGAAAGAGAATGAAAAGCTTAATGGAGCTTTTTCCAATAAGTTTAGCTTTATAATAAACATATTGCATAAACATATATATATATTTAAAGGCCAGTTGCCTGAATGTCTGACAGAAAATTTTTAAAAAATATTAAAGGAAAGTACAGAAACTAAGCGAAAGCTTTAGAGCTTTAGAAAACCTTTTTAACATAACCTTACAAAATGCATGTACAGGCGTCAAATTTCAAATGTTGCCAATATGAACAATTATTATAAAAAAGGAGCAAAAGCTCCATAGCAGCTCCACAAAAGCTTTTAAACATAACCTCATAAAAAGATCAAAGTGCATATACAGGCGTCAAATTATTGCCAATATGAACAAATTATTACAAAAATGAGCAAAAGCTCTAGAAAAGCTTTCTAACATAACCTCACAAAAGGATCAAAATGTCTGTAAAGGCGTCAAAGTTCAAGTGTTGCCAATATACAGGAATTATTACACAATAATTTTGCACAAAATTTCGAAATTACGAAATCATTTCGGGTTAACGGCAGTTACAGGCAATAACAACTTATTCATTGCGCACATTTACCAACGCGAATTATGGCATTGCTGATTAGAGAATGAAGCCTTTCTCCACAATAATTTAACACGGCCAACTAACTAATTTCACCTTTTGCCACAGTGCAATAAAACACAGGGCAAACGTGCAAAAAACAATAAACACAAGATAATGTGTCCGAAGGGACGGGAAATCCCACAATTGTACACCTGTTATGTATCTTTGTTAGATTGTAGGGGTGTAGCGTCCAAGTTAATGGCGGTACTTTACTGTTTTATCGCTTCATTCTGCATGAGACAACGAACGGTGTGCAACCTATCACCTGTCGTTGCAAACAAGTGCAATGTTGCAACAGCAATAACAAAAACAAATAAAAAAAAACAAAAAAAAAAAATGGTAGCAAATAAAAAATGATATCCACAACAGAGGGTGATTATATTTGCTTCGTGTATTTTTTTGTTTCACTAATTTTCGCTCTTTTTCTTTCCTTCTCTTCCACATAGCAACATTTGCCGGTACTGTGCAGAGTAGCCATGAACAACACAAACAACAACTGCTGGCGGAGCAAGAGCGCTTGCGCAGCCAACAACAGCAATTGCGCCTGCGCAACAGACGCGAAACTGTGGCCACGACCAGCAGCAAACCTAGTCAAGAGGACATGCTTTTGGTACAATCAATTCAGATCACTGACAAATTTGGCTTCGATAAGCAGCAGCAACAACAACAGCCCAAATCGACGGCATACGATAGCAACGAGACGATTTTCATTAGCGGCGAGGCAGGACAAGGATACTGTGTTAATGCGATTGGTAAGCGGACAGACGTACTGCAGCGCTTAGACAAAATGCGAGGCATAACTTTAGGGCTAACACAAGACACTAGCGCTTAGCGCTAACGTTTAGACGACAAGCGTAACTGACGATGATCGAGGTAGGGCGCAACGATCGGCGCGAACGCAATCGAGACATTCAAGACGATCACCACAGCAGCAACAACAACAACAACAACAATTGCAATAGGCAGCACATTAGCCAACGCCAAAAGGTGTGCTAATCTCTGGCATGGCGCATGAAGAAGCATTTATAAACTATTGCCAGACATGATCAAGCGAGACAAAGCAATTGCAGCAGCCACAGCAATAGTAGGAGCTTACTTTGTTGGCAGTAGTTAGTGGAGCTGTTATATAGTAGACGATTGTTAGATTACTGCTGCGTCTGTCCGCACTCGATTCATGGCCCGTCTGCGAGTTGCGCTTTGCGCTTTCAGGCGTTAAGCGTTGACGTAATTGCTTGTGATATATCTAACAGTCGCCGTCACAACAACAGCACACACGTTTACAAGCAGTAGACTTCTATAGTAAGCTCTTCAAGCGGCGACTGTTGGCGCGGACAGCCAACATGTTTGGCAGCAGATAGCGGCAATGTGATAACGGGCGACAGCTCAAGTGTCTATTTTCACAGATTATCGCGCTTTAGGTGGTTGTAGGTAAAGGGTATACGTGTGGGAAAAATTCCGCTACATAAACGGTGAATGATAAGCATTGTGGTGACAAAGTTGTTGCCGTCATTGGCGCCAGCAGAAATGACAATAAAGCTCACTTTGAATTGGTTCTAGGATAGCGAAAAAAAAGAGATAATCTGATTGACAAAATTTATCTTGAATAGATCAGTTTTCAAGCAATACATTCATTAAAGCGTTGTTAAAGGGTAACAAACTTTCGGGAAGAATATTATTCGGAGTATATAGTATAGGTTTAGTAAAAGCTCTGTATTTATGGTTACCCTGAAAACTGCTAATTTAACGATCTTCGGTGGTATATCTACTTGCAAGTCAGAATTTTTTTTTTAAATTTTTTTTTTATTTAATTTTTTTTTTTTTTTTTTTGTTTTTTTTTTTGAGACCTTTGATCTTCGGCAGGATATACAAAAAAAGGTATGAGGAAGATATGTTTGCTTAAAATTAACCAAAATCCAAAATCCCACAAAAATGCAGCTAAAATCTATTGTTTTATTCACCTTAACTTTAAACACAGCACAGAGGAGTAGGGTTGAGTCTATTGCCAATATTATGGATCATTAATCAGTCGTTTAAAATCAATTTGACTTATACACAAACAAATTACTCGAGTAGATGGTTACCTATTCAATCAGATCCAACAGCGCCCTAAATGTAGGCCATACTTAATTTTTTATCTTAAAGCATAAAGATGAGAAAAATGTAGCCTACTTTTAGGCTGATTCTTTTATTAATGTCGCAGCACTGGTCGACTTAATTGATCAATCGGGATCGTCGAGAAAGAAGAACATTGCATAAGACTAAGCAACAACAAAGTGAACTTGAAAAACGATTAGAAGGCTGGAAAAGATTAATGGATATGACTCAGAAAGCTGCATAATAATCGCAGGGATCCTCAAATTTTTAATTAGGAAATGCTATATAATACTTTATGCGGTTAGTTCTCAAAAAAAACTCGTCAATAAACCGTTTAGTTAGTAGTTAACTAACGGCACTTCAATTAAAAGCATCGTGGTGCCATCTGCTAAATAATACTCAAATGCCAAAAATAAGATTGGCGGGTTTAAAACTGTTAATGACTAGGAATTAAATGACTCTGGTCGAAATTTGAGTACAGTTAAATAATAGAGTAGCAACTATGTTAACTAAAACTAAATCTAAGAAAAAATTAAAAAATTTAAACCCTAATGCGGCTCCAAGAAATTTTTAAGGACCCGAACCCCGAACACTTTAAAACACTGAGGACAGCATTGACGACTTTACTACACATGAACTTGATTTTAAAAGAAAAAAATGTAATACTCTTATTTTCCCCACATAGGTCTCATTGTTGCCGTCACTGTCTTCTTGTTGGCACAGCTCGCGGTCATTGCCATCTGGACCTATCTGCACCAACGACGCCGAAAGCAACAACACTACAGCAATGAGGGACTCAGCAGCGCCTCCAGCTATGGTTCACACAATGGCGGCTCGACAATGGTGACTAGTGTGCCGAATGCGCGATCGGAATCGTTATGCAAGCTATACGATAGCGGTTTCGCAGGACGACATGGACGCCAATTCTAGACGAGTAGTTGAAATGAGAACAGAAAAACACAAAGAAGGCAACAAAAAAAAAAAAAGAAATATATGGGAAGAGAACAAACGATAAACCACCTTATAAGGATTTATTGAGTAATTGAGGCGAAGTGTCGGTTCGTTTTGGGGGTACAGTCTGAGGAAGAAAAACAAAAAACGCGCGTATTCTTGCCGCAAGTAGTTAGAGGATGCAATAGAACACTTAACCGATGCAATATGACGAAAATTATAACGATGAACGCCATTAAGTAAGGGAAGCAAAGGAAAATGAAGTGCAGGCGTTGCTTAGCAGATTTAATATGCGATTTAATATTCGAGGTGCGTTCCGATGAAACTCACATGGTGCCGGATAGTAAATCTCGTAGGCAATATTATAACCAATACACATTGCTAATATTGATTACAGTAATGAATAGTTTATATTATTATACGCGAAAATAGGCAAGCAAAACTATGAAAAATATATATTAAAAAACAAGCAGACGGCGACGAAACGAAGCAATCATAAGAAGAAGAAAAAAATAGTCTAAAAGCCTAGTTTTAAGTTGTGCAATGAAACAGACTCAATTGCAATGGAATATTTAAGCGAAAATCGAATGCAATAAGACATTACAAAAAACATATATATTTATACACATATGCACACATACACATATACACATAGGAAATATGTTGTGGAAATGCATTTTTAAACAGAAAAAAGGACGACTGATAGTTAAAAAAATTTGTATTACTTTTCTTTATGAAAATTGCAAAATTCAAAATGCAGCCAATTAAGGAAATTTAATACGATGCCAGAACGGCTTGCAAGCTACAGCGTGGTTGCACCGCAAGCGAGACTTAAGCTTAAGTAGATTTTATGCATACATATACATATAATTAAGCTAACGGTAAATGCAATTAAAGACATGAAACATTTAGTTTGTAGAGTTGCTGCATTTATTGAGAATTTTAAAAGTAGTTAAAACCAATCAATAGACCTAGAAACTAGTTTTACAAAACACCCATAAACGAAGTGTAAGCCACAGCCACAAAGCAACACACATACATAAATAAACACATAACACAATCAGAACAGTCACAAATAAACACAACTGCGCCACATACCACAGACACACACACACACACGCAGGCACATTTTTTATAACGCATTAACGCTTAAGTTGCAATATAATTTAATTTAGTTATGCAAGAGGAGGAGAAAGAGAAAATTACGCGTAATTTGTATGCCACTAAGCTCGACTTTTCACTTGTCCTTTTTTCTAACACACATCAGGCAATAACAAAATTTAAGCATTATTTATGTTTCATTTATTAATTTGATTACAATGATTTTGCTTTTGTTTCAAATTTTTGGAATGAAATTCTGCTTATATAATTTATTCTTGTAGTCTCTAGCCTTAGTTTAAAATATCGAAATATATATACATACATACATATGTATAACCGTATGGCGGTGGTGGTGCTGCCAGTTTAGTTAATATAATATTTTTAGTTAACGCAATAAAAGTACAGTTATTGCCTAAAACACGCCTCTTTGTGCTAAGCGTGAAAATATATTTGAAATTGGTGTGAAATTTCAAAACTGTCATAAACAATTCTTTAAGCAATTTGCATTTTGTACTCTTTTTTTGATAAAATTAATAAATAAATACAATAAAATAATAAATATTAAATTGTGTGTGATTTAATGGCCAAAATGAATTGATGAACAATTCGAGACTTGCTGCACAGCAGCTATAAGGAAATAAGAAAACGCAGCACCAAAAAAGTTTCCATTCAGGTGATTGATTTTGATCGTTGATTTTGTATGGCAGCTATATGTTATAGAGTTCCGATCACAACAACTTATTCGGAAATTATAGTATTGCCTTTAAAAATAATTTGAGTTAAATTTCGTGCAGATTATTTGTCAAATGAAAATGTTTTTCTTACAAGGACTTGATTTCGACCTTTCAGTTTCTATGTATGGCAAATGTATGCTATAGTGGTCCGAACATTTTTTCGGAGTTTATATCGGTTTTTTGGATAATAACCCGTGCTGAATTTCATGAAGATATCTCGTCAAATAAGACAGCTTTCAATACAAGAGTTTGAGTACTTGATTTTGATCGATCAATTTAGTAGTAGAGATACTTATTTCAAAAGACTCTTTTTTACAGATCACGCGTGAGTCGTGCAAGCTGTCACGTTATTTTTGTTCAGTATTTTTTTTTTTTTTTTTTTTTTTTTTTTTTTTTTTTTTTTTTTTTTTTTTTTTTTTTTTTTTTTTTTATAATGAAAAGATTTACGCCTGAACAATGTTTACGAATCGTTCAACTTTCGCGCGCTTCGCTCCACTTATGCTCAACATAATCGCCCTATTGAGTGTTTTGTGATTTGTGAACCGGCGAAATCATCGGCAAGTATTTCTTCAAAAATGATGACCCATTTATGTTGATAACTGATAGATAAACTAGCCAGAATAGAAAATATGCTTCAATTACACTCCGGTAAAGAGGAAATGTCTATGCCTCTGGATAGTTATAGATAATTAATTGGCAACCATGTTATAAATATTGCTGAATATCGGTGGAGTTAAATCATAACTAATTCATCAGGCAAACAAAAGTTGCGTAAATGGAATATGGCTCGCACATATCAACTATTAATTATTTAAAACCGATTACTGACTAATTTGCAAATATGCCAGCAGACTAGGAACACTATACGAGTATAATGACTAGGTAGTGTAGAAACTGTGAAAAGGTAGAAGAAGAGGAAACTATAAAACATCTTCTAAGCGAAAACAAGGCTTTGTATAGAAAAACTTCGCAACTATCGGTACCTTTCACATTAGTCCATTACATAATTGTATACACTTAATAATAATTGATTAAATTTTGTTGCTGTCAAAAACGATTATAACTCAATTAAATATTTTATAGCAACATTTTGCAAGGCTACATTCTTTACTAATTTTCATTAGCGGCTATCAACAGCAGTGATCAGAAGCTAAGAAAAGTACCAATATGAAGCATGCTGTATCTGCTGATGGAGACAAACTAATTTGTCATGGCGTATACGTTATATGTGACTTGTAAGACCAAATTATGCAGTAGATTTGAAAATTGAAAACCATGAGACCTGCTAGTTTCGTACTTCATTTCGTTTTATAAAGGTAAATATTTCATCTAGATTTACTACGCGACAAAAAACTTGCCGAAAATAGTAAAAACAAAAAAACACAAAATATTTAATTTTTCATTAATAATTATTTTGTCACTTTTAAAGTAATCCCCACCAGATGTAACACACTTATGCTAACGGTTTTTTAGTCCTCGAAACAAGTTTCATAAGCACTTTTTAGGTTGACCATCAGGTCATTCAGCGAATTTTGTTTTATCTCTTCGATCGTCTGATTCCGGGCTTGGTTTCGGAACGCTTTTTTCCTTTCATTCTAATGATTGTTGACTTGTTTCCATATCAAACTCATAGCTCATAAACGCTTGTCTTATCGGCAGTTACCATGTCCTACATATGTGGGATCGGAATTCCCACGATCAAACATGTCCAAAGAGAACTGTTTAAGGTACTCTTTTTGTAAAATTCAGCTTTATCGGGACAAGTCGACCAAGAACGCCTTCTATACTCAAAATATCCACCAAAATCATTCGAGCAGGATCCCGAGAGATGTCCAGCTCGCTGGCCATCTTTCTACCACTTGACTTTTTAAGGACCATATCCTTCACTTCTTTAATATTTTTTATCAGTTGAAGAGGTCGAATGTCGTCCAGAAGTCCTCAAACGATCTCTCCACCGTATTTGAAGTCTTTGTACCGTTTGTAGGCTTCTGTTTTTGATAAAATTGAATTACCGCAAGGCTTTTCAAGCATTCCCAAAAATTCCTCACACGAAATTTGGTTAAAAATGCTAAATTTGAGACAAATGCTTTATTCGATATATTTTTTTTTTTTTTCTTTATAAAAATCGAAACGCACCGGTGAGATGTACCAACTTAAGCAGCTTCTGTAAACGAACTGGCTGAGAGTTCGAGCTAATATTTGATATAGTAATTACGGACAGTCCTCCTATTTTTTGTCTTTTTTTTTCTTTGATATATAATTTACCTGGGGATGTAATTACAATTTCCGGGCGCTGTTTTGCCACAATGTATACTGCAATTTGGCACACAATTCCGATGACATATAATATTTAAAATTAAGTCCCATAATTGCAAGGCAATTACCATACAACCCTCTCAGTAAAGCTTAAGTCGTGTAAAAATTTAGTTTTTAAGATTGCAACTGGTATTATTTAAACAATCATCTTAACATAAGCTCTAACAGTATAGTAATTCATATATTAGATCATATCCTTAATATTCTTAAGAAAAATATATATTCATACAAAAGTAAATTTGTAAATAAAAATTATCCATAAGGTCAAAACGCAATTTTACAAGCAGTTGTGGGACGAGTTTGTTAAGCTGCTAGATTTATTATATCTAGAGACTATTAAAAAAAAATCTTAACTATAACAACAAAAAGTAGCTGAGCTTCACTTAAGTGGCAGGTGAAAAAATTCCAACTCATAAATTACATTTTATTTCAAATCAAAATCAATAATCGCACAGAAATCAATCAGCTACCAAAGTACTGACTATCCACATTTAGCATTAGACTATCCAAAGCACAGTTATCAAGCGCAGCGCGCGCGTTTTTGCCATCAATAACGGCGTGCTGATTTTCACTTTGATTGACAGACTGACGCACATTGCCATTTTCGTTATTTTTGTTATTTTCGGCATTGTCGGCTTTTTCAACGTTAGACGATTTGTCATTGTGTTTTAGGTTATTTTCACCTTTTCCACTTACCCTTAAACGACTATCCGCCACCGTCCACACACGCGCACCATAATCATTTGATGTACCCAATATGTAAGTGCCAGTCGAGTCGAAGTCCACGGAATTTATGCCGGCACTGCTGCCGCCCAAAACTGCGCGCGGCTCCTGCGCCACTGTCAAAGACAAAAGTTTGTATGAATTATGTTTGTTATTTTCATCGAATGGTGTGCTACAATAACAGCGCCTACCTTTCCCCACATCCCAGAGTTTGACTTTACGATCGCCGCCGCCGGTCGCCACGAGACGTTCGACCGGACTCCAGCGCACCGCATGCGACTCATTGTCGTGCGCTTCGAATTTCATGTATATTGTTGTTGGTATTGAGGAAGACACTAAACACGGATTCAAATTGGGCTCATGTAGCGGACCCAACATTTCATCGAGATTGTAATAGTCTATGCCGCCAATTGCACCGTTATTGCCGCCAGCTGTCAACGAAATGTTATCGCCGTCGTCAGCGCCCAATTGCGAGGGGCTACCCGAATTGCGATGCTGTGAGTTGGGTTCGCGGACGGCGTCTTCGAGATCACGTTTCAATTTATCCGAACGTTTTCTGAAAATTGACGGCAGTCGTTTTCTAGATATTTAAAAGTGGGAGTGCACAATTTGTTTATGATTTCGAAAACAAAAAGAAAAGAAGAAGAAAAGGAAAATAGTGGTTTTTTCGGTACACAAAAAAAATTATAGTTTTAAATATTTTCTGTTTTTTAGAGTTTACTCTTTTTTTTAATTTTTATTTTTTTTATTTTTTTTTTTTATTTTTTTTTTTTTTTTTTTTTTTTGTTTGGTGGTGTTTTGATGCATTTTGGCAATCATCAACGTTACTGGTGTTGTTGTTTTTGCAATATTGCAGTTTAGTCTTGTTTCTGTTTTTTTTTTTTTTTTTGGTATTCACAGATTTAGTTCAATTTTTGTATTTGAGGCGTGAAGAGGTACTTTGCTAAGCCATTAAGCGTTGGGTACATGGGATGAAGAGCACACCGAATGCTGGTGGTGAGTGTCGTGAGACGAAATGTCAGTATGTCAGAATGACGCAGGCGATTTTTACTAGACGGATGCAAATAACTTTTACTTGTGTGTGTGAGTGTTTAAGTTGTGAATTTTTAATTTTTTTTTTTTTTTTGCGATTTTTTGTTTACAGCGGCAATATTATGAATGGGGCATGAGGTGTTCAAATGTTATTATTTTCGAAATCAAAGGCAAATAAGTGATTGTGATAAATTATAAAAATAACAATGAAATGAGCGCATGCAATTATACTTACACACATGCTAGCAGTTGTTGTGCATGCCAACATGCATATGTGTATACATACATACATGTTAGGTATGCAACTATGTTTTCTAGCACTATAAATTTTAATTGTAATTTTGAATTTAACTATACGCAAAACATACCAAGCTCGCATCCAACACACACACCTACACTTATATATATGTACATACACTCATACTTATTGTACTTACATATTTACGCTTGCCAATGATAAATGGGTGTTTAATACGTAATTAAAGCATGTCTATAAAATATTACCAATACCAAGTCAATAACCAACCGTATGCCGCTAAATATGCTGGGCTAAATGTTTTCAAGCAGATTCTGAGCACGTGCAGGAAAAATTATAAATATTTTTTTTAATTAATATAGTAATACACATTTAGGGTGGTCCTCAAACGCAGAGAAGAAGCTTTACGTCTAATATTTTAAACCTAAAATAGGATTTTGCTGAGGTAGCGTGGTCCACAAATTTTCCGATTTTTTTAAAAACCACCCTAATGTCTTAAAAAACTATTTTTAATTTTACAATAAAACGATATCGACGAAATCCAAAAAAATAACTATATTTCGAACTATAACACTAAAACCCATATATGTTTGATGAAAGTCCTAAAGGAGTAAAATCAGGAACCACACAGTATTTGATCTGGATTTGAAGAAATATTTTCATATAAAAGAAAATTAAATAGTTCTTTGAAATTGCTGAACTGAAAGTACTTTAATAACTACTTTTCTTTCAGTAAGTTGGCTCAAATAGCTAGTATTTAGTATAAAGTTCTAGTCAGTCATAACTTAGAATTATAACAAACCAAGAAACACGTGAATTTCGGCTGCACCAAAGCAATAATACGCTTCATAGCTGCCTTTCATATGACAATAAAAGGGTATACTTAAAAAATTTTGTATCTTCATTTCGATTGCAGATTTTGAATAGCAGCTATAGCGGTTCGTTTTCGAGATTTATAGCATTGCATTCGACAATAATTTATGCCCAAATCCGTGGTTATGTCTTGACAAAAAAAAGTTCTACTTAATTGTAATCGGCCGGTTTGCACGTGTGCAAAATTTCAGACCGATATCTCAAAAACCGACGAACTAGTTTCCGTATATACAGACAGACGGACAAGGCATTAGCTTATCATATTGAATTGATAAGCATACATACAGTATACGGGCTCCAACATTTCCGTCTGGATATTACAAACTTCGTGGTAAACTTGATATAAACGCTTCTTAAGTTAAAACGAATGAGGAAACATTTACATGAAATGTACTTCAATGGGTAGTCTTATCTAGAAATTTGAAAAAATCCAGAAAAATATTTTCACAATTCGATAGTTTAGATATTCAGAAATAACTTCCTAAAAATATTTTTATAAATTCAAATTATTGAGTTGTAAAACAACTTATAGCGCGTTTTATCCATCCGATTTACTTGAAGTAAGACATGAATAATATTTAAGTATCTCTCATATCAAATAATGAAAAATGAGTAAAATCATGGTGTCGAGTGCACGGCCTTTTCCCCACTCTACTTCGAGGACTCTGCAAATATGCATAAACTAATGATAAAAAATTATAATAAAAATATCAAATGTTTCTTTTTCATCAATTGCCAAAAAACGCTCGAAATTCGGGCCTTGAATCGAGGAATACTTCTATGGGAATTTTCATATTTACTCGTATGCTGTCTATTTTTTAGAACAGATCTAGTTTTGTTAAAGGAACGGCATAAAACATAACCCAATTGTTTATTTCATATATGTATCTTCACCATAGGTGAGAACTGTTTAGAGGCAATCTCAAACGCAGAAAAAATTACTCATTTCTCTGTGATCAATAGCGGAGGACACCTGGAGATGAGAACCCAAGAAATTGTTCAAATTAAATTTTAATATCTCTTACACAAATATATATATCTCTTACGAAGGCGTTTATTTTCTTTTCAAAGAAATGCTTACATACTGACGTCGATTTTCCGGTTGTCGGTACAGAAATAAAAGGAACGAAATTACGAGGATGGTTTGATAAGTATTTAGTCTCATCGCCCGAAGGCGCGCCATCGCAAAGTATATTTACTATCGTATAGCATATTCTGCTAAACAATTACGGCTAAAATCTCATGGCCCAATCCGACTCGTTGTGTTTTTTACCAGATGTGGAAACGGCCGTTTCTGCGGATTTTAGAAAACTGTAAAAGATGCAGCTCTGGTCGGCAATTCGATTGTGATTCTTTGGAAAGTGAAATCAACTAGCACTTGGCTGTTCTATACGGTAACTAGATCGCCGATTGAAGGTTTTAGCGGTGGTAGACCTCCAGGAAAAATATTTTTAAGACGAGTATGAAGAAGTACAGCAGACAAAATGCTAAACACTTAACGAACCGCCCTCCACAAAATTTGAGTCATTTCAAAAATATTAATATTGAATATTTTTAAGCGTCAAAAATAAATAATTCAAGGGACACACATTTTGAAAATTAATTACATGTTGGAGAGAACTCAAAAATCATGTTTATATAGCTATTTGCTTAAAAATAACCTTGTTGGCTACAAATGAGAGGAAATCAACAAATTATTATGAACTAAATTTATAATGTGATCTAAAATACATTTGCCGATGTGCCATAAATAGTTTATTTTTGGAACTGGGGGGGGGCAATTTTGTAACTGCGAATGAAAAGTTGAAGCAAATTGCTAGAATGCCAATTTTTTTATTTTAGTTTTAAAGTATCAAAGAAAATGTTAAGCGTCACCAGCTATTATAAATATAACTTAAGTAGTGCCCAAATGATGAGGAATAAAAGGAGTTAAAATCGAAAAAAGAATTCACAAATACATTTGGTTGAAGATATTTTAAAAAGGTTGCCACTTGTTTGAAATTTTGATATTAGTACGAAATTTGTAGTTAATAAAATCATAGAAAATGTTTACGAAATTAAAGAGCTTTAAAAAGGCTGACTGTAGGATTTAATTTTTAAGAGAGTTGCCACTTATTGCAACACTTTATTTACAAATTTACATTATGCTTTTAATCTAATAAAGTTTTAGGAAACTATCTGTCGATAATGTTTTCAGGAGTGTTGCCACCTGTTTGAAAATTTGATAATGATAAGAAATTTTCAAGTTAATAAAATCATATAAAATGGCTAAGAAAATAAAGAGTTTTAAAAAGGCAGACTGTAGGAAATAATTTTTAAGCGAGTAAGTATTTTTATTTTATTTTCTTTAAATTGATATGATAAAAAATTACAGTATGCTTCCAAGCTTAAGAGGTTTGAAAACGCTATCTATTGATATGTTCACAATAATATTGCCACCTGTTTGGAATTTTTATTTTCGTTGAAAATTTTAGGGCTAATAAAATTTAAAATGTCTAAGGAATTAAAGAGTTTTAAAAAGACGTGTTGCCACCTATTTGAAAATTTTATTTGGAATTAATTTATTTATAAATTAATAATATAGACCAATCAAGCTCAAGAGGTTTCAGAACACTTTCTATCAATAATGTTTTTTTTAATGTGGCCACCTGTTTCAAATTTTCACATCCTTTCAAAATTTTTAGTTTAATCAAATTTTATCAAATCTATAAGAAATTAAGATTAAGATAATTTAAAAAAGCCAAATGTAAAAAAAAAATTATGCAGGTTGCCACCTATTTCAAAAATTTATAATTTTTTATTTTTATTGAWAAATTAAAAAAATTTTAATTGAACTTTTCAGCCAAGGAGGTTTAATAATACTTTTGACCGATACTCGTTTTTAAGAATGTGGCCACCTGTTTCACACTTGATTAAAATACAAAGTATAATATAATTTTTAAAATTTGCATACAAATTTTTACATGTTTTACCAAATTGAAAAGATGTAAGAAAGCTGGATTACGAAAATATTTTTCATAGTGCTGCCACTTATTTAAAAAAATTTCTTTATTAGTTGTTAAATTAAATTAAATACTAAAAATCGCCGACAAATTAAATTTTTTTTGAAAAATCTATCTGACTTTTTTTTTAATCTTTTCAGACCGACCAGAATAATGTTTTTTTTTTTTAAAGTTGCGAAAAGAGCAAAACAAAGAAAGGAAAATATTATGCTTAATTTATATTTATTTTTTTGTTTCTGCTCGGCAAGAATCAATCGTATTCACCAAAATTTTAATATTATTATTGTTGCGTCTAAATAAACAAATAGCTTCATCGGCCAATTTTCAGTACAATAATAGAAAAGATTTAAGGACGGGGCGAGGCGAGGCGTAAAACAATTTATGACACAATAAACGCAATTCCAAATGTAACAAAAAAACAAAACATAAACACAAAAAATAAATGCTAAAAAATGAATATTGCTAAATATATATCTACTGTTGTATACTTATAAAACCGTTATACTATATGCAATAAATACAGTAAATATATGACAAACAAACACTAAAGAGTGAAAGAGAGAGAGAGAGAGAAAGAGAGCGGACGAGCAAGCATAAAACGTACACATTCCACATGTTCCACATGAGACCACATTCCATATGAGTTGTTTTTGTTTTTACTTGTCTCCAACACACATGTTGCCAATGGCGCGCGTACAACGTTGGTGAATTTGCTTATTATTAAAATATGCATTATTTATGTTGCCAGAAAGTTAATTAGTTTTTGTTTTTTTTTTTCGTTTGGCTGAAATGTTTGCTTGCTATAAAAATGTACGGGAGACACTGTTATATGACGCTTTAGTTGTATTTTGGTTTTCCCTCAACCACAAGTGATTAAATAGGGTATTAAACAATGAGAAACAATGTGTCCATCAACCAATTGATAAGAGCCAAAAAAAGTGATTTTCTTTTATTGTAATTATTTTTTTTGAGATTTTTTTTTTTTGGGAAAAGTATTACTTTTTTGATTAAGTTTTTTAACAAATTTAATTT